AAGAGATGATAAGGCACATCGAGCTGTATTTATAGAGCTGTATCCCAGTCCAGCATTAAACAGGTGAGTCAGGAAACGTATTACATTTCCTACAGAAATGTCATTTCCTACAGAAATGTCATTGGAATCAATGTTCCTTTCACTACAGAACAACATCCATTTCCTGAAGTGTACATCATATTGGTCTCTTGTTGACTTTCTCCATGACTGGAGCATGATTTCTCTAGCTTCTGGCGGAATTCCTTCTGCTTCGAGACTTTTCCAGACACAAGACATGCTAACAGTTGCRTCTTTTTCCACAGTGGATGGCTTATTTGAGAGTGAGGCAGCCTCAGTAAGTTCTCCTTCATTGGTAGGCGTCTTGGAGGTTGGATCACCATTGACATTAATCTTGGGTAGTATGTCTGAGTCGACCACATTGGAACAATAATCACACCCTCGGATTCTTCCTGTGTTATTTTTTGCAGGCATCTGTCAATAAGAGCAAAAGGTGGAAAAGCATAAAAATGTTTGTCCCAAACAACAGAAAATGCATCAATGGCCCTTGCCTCAGGGTCAGGTTTCCATGAAATATAGTCATCCACCTGTTTGTTCAGTCTTGATGCAAACAGGTCAGTCTCAAAAGGACCCCAGAGTTTGGACAGTTCATGGAATACTTCCCGCTGTAGCATCCACTCAGTCCTCAGTCCTGTCATTGAAGACTCTGGATTCCCTGTCTGCCAACTCATTCTGCTTTCCTGACAAATGAGCTGCACTAAAGGGAATTACTTTTATTAAGAGCAAAATTCCAGATTTTTCTTGATATTTCATTACATGACCTGGATTTGCTTCCACCCATGTTATTGATATAGCAGACTGTGGTTGTATTGTCTGACATAACTCTGATATGAGAGTTACTAATATCATTACATAATGATTTCAATCCAAAAAATACTGCTTGAAGTTCAAGTTCATTTATGTGTAAACCTGACTCCTCTGGGGACCATCTACCACCTGTAGTGGTAGATCCTCTTACTGCCCCCCACCCTTCTTTTGAAGCATCAGTTGTGAGCACTATGTCTGGTTG